GCAGTAGGGAAATATTAAATACAAACATAATTTATGACATATGATGATCAACAAACAAAATTAAGTTTATAGAATAAATGCATCATATGAAATCACGACAAAGAGTACGTAATTTTCCGATGGATTCGGACCGAGTCAAATATTCACAACGAATCATTCTATTTTCAACATTTCTCGAAACTATGACGATTGGTTTCATCTATGTTACGATTTGAAAATTTAAAAAAATTACTAACTAGTTCTTAATAAATTCATACAGTTCAAAGAATATATAAAGTCGGAATTGAATAATACTTTGGCAAATTCGGATTGTTTTGATGATGCGAGTGTATTATTGTTCTCTTTGAATCTTATTCCAAAATATGGAGTGAGACAATGACTTACGATTCTAAGAAGTAGCCGCCACTTGCGTCTATTTAGCTGATGTCTTAAGCAACGGTCCACGTTACAACTGGTGAAAAGTATTGTAACCACTAAAGTTATGAAAAATGAAAACTAATAATCTTATAAAAATTGAATAGAAGTAAATAAAAGTGACATTGAAGCGTCGACGACAAGAACCGAAACAGATCGTGTTTTGTTTAATTGAAACTTGGAAGATTCTATTACAAAGTATCATAAACAAACAAGTATTAATAGTCTGGATCATTGAAATCTAATGACATCGTAGTACTCAAACTTTTTATTCAACTTTACAAACACATACAACAACTAATAAAACTCAGTTTAAACTTACCACAAAACTCATTCTTTAAATCCAGATATCAGAGGTGCAGTCTCCGCCCGGATATCTCATCTCGTGGGCAAGCGCAGGACCGTCTGGTTCATCACCAAAGTCCACAAAGAAATCGGGGTTTATGGTGAGACCACCTTTGTCTGTATCAACATCAATCTGAATAATGTGTGACCCTTTATCCATGAGTTCCGGATAAAACTGACGGTCCCATGCGCTAAAAAGCGAGTTTGTTGCATACAATCGTTTCCCGTCAAGGCTCAGCTGAATCATCTGAGGCCCACCTCGCAGAGACTTCCCCTGAAATTACCAGAGGAAAAAAAAATAGTTTCAATATTATTGCAAAATGTAAAAGCTCAATACCAAACAAAAATATTACATTGTGGTACAAACCTTAATCTGAGGAACATCGAATTGGAAAGTGTTGCCGTCTTCTCCAACCGCCTTAACAGGACTGCCCTTTTGTAGTAATCCTCCGACCCATATTTGTCCGGTTAACACAGGGTTTTTAGGGTCTTCGATGTTGTACTGACGAATGTCTCCATGAAGCCAGTTCACAAAGTAGAGGAACCTGTCATCGAGGGAGATCAAGAAGTCGGTGATAAGCCCTGGCATTTCTGGAAGAAACCAGTTTTCGACTTTCAGCGATTTAACTTGTATAACCACCTAAAAACCAGATTGTATAACGGGTTAATCATAGATTTGAAAGAACATAATTGAGGTAATGAAGAACATTCATAAACTACACTTGCCTCATGACCCCATGTTTCATCACTGTTCTTGAAAAATCTAATCATATTGCTCGACAATGCACTTCCAACAAACCCTGTATCTTTAGACGGCTCGTGCAAGAATCTAATCTGCAACCACATATCGGTTCAATAACAAAACGATTAGATTATATATTCCTTGGAAACACAGATCATCACATTTCTTTTGTGTGACATTTTGAAGCAATGTTACCTCCAGAGGTAAGAGACCAGTATTTCCAAGGTCAATTAATTGTTTCATTTCACCTCCTGGCCAACTATAAACATGTAGATGACTTCCGTATAAGCCATCGGCAACGTGCTGGAGATCGAAACCTTTCGAAAACGCTTTAGGTGCTCCCCAAGAAGTACTGATCATCGTCTTGTGCCGAGGTTGGTACCAGAAATCATACCCAAACAAGGGACTGTGTCCTGGCTTCTCCCACCTGAGATATGCCCCCAGAAAAACATAGACATCAACTTTCGAGTTCATGTGATAAATTTAGTAGGTTTTGCTTTTAACTTATAGAGTAACAATCACCAACAATAATGGTATATGAGTAACAGTGAAAAGAAACTAAAAACACAAAGATTTGTTTTGCAATAAGATACCTACCTACTCTTGATGTTAAAATCAGAGTCAAGTAGAAGGAACCCATTCCCCTTGGCATTTCCTTCTTCGTCACCGAGGCAGGACACCAAGATTTCACCAGAGGCAAGGCAATGAGCTGTGTGTGGAAATCCCAATCCAGTCTTTTCAGCAATCTCTTTAGGGTCTACATACTTATACAGAGACGGAGCCCTCGGGTCTGCCTTAGTGTCGATTGCATAGATTCGACCAGATCTTCATCCAAACAACAACAAAAACATCTACTTATCAATCACTCAAAACCAATTAGCAATGAATAGATTGATTAATATACTTAATCAAGGATCTTACATAAGGGACGGTAACACGAGATAACGTCTATCAGCAGAAGCATCACCATGGCAAGAGCTGCAAGAATTCCAACCAGAATGATGAAGCTCATCACCCACAAAAGGCATAGGCAATCTATGAATCACGCTTGAAAACGTCGGCGAGCTTGGATCCACATCAACCGTCGCCAAGTAATCCGGTTTCTCTCGTCCCGTTCCTTAATTCAAAACAATACAGAGGAACCACAATTTTCAATGATTCTCAATCAAAGAGACATAACATAAAACTCACAAATTTCATAAACAAAATCTCCTGAAACAGATCAAATCAGGAATCGAGATACTGTGTGATTCGATCTGGATTATTCCTTAGGACCTTACCTACCTACCAAAGATTCTCGAAACATTCGAAATAGATTCATACATGCAAGCAAAAAAAAAAAAATGTGTACCAGTGTAGACAGCAGTGACGTAGATGAGGTTCTCAGGAGGACCAGACATGGCGGAGAGAGGCGTAGCGTAACCGGGACCGGACTTGCAACATCCTCTGACTCCTCCGCCGTTACTCACCGGAGCCACGACCACCACTTCCGTTTCCGTCGCCATTT